ATATACTTACGATATATTCTTGGATGAACCACATGGAGTCCTTCACCAGCTCCGCCGCCTATTACGGATGGGCATCGTTTCGGAAGCTGCAGTTGGTGGATTAACGGGCTCCATGGGTTATAATCATTGAACGATTCCTTCGTCAGTTTCCTGTGAAGGCTTCGTCGAATCTGGCATCCGCAAAGTGCGCGTCCAGGAATCGTTTGAATTCCGACACCGAGTTCGCTTCTACTATCCGCGAGGGCAAACGGTTCCACATGTTCACCACTCGCCGCTCAAGACACAAGGGATGAGCTACCCACTTGAGGTCAGGGACTACCAGTTTGTACTGGTGACCTCGTGTGCTGCTTGACGCACGGACATGGAGCAGTGGCCTCAGCATCGGATAAGCACCCAGATGCAATACCCGATGGGTCATGATGAGGTCCACTCGCACGCGGCGGTAGGCTAGAGTATACAGACCCAATTGTCTGCATCTTTCTTCATACGGCACACCCTGAAGACCGGGAATGAGCCGTGTGGCTATGTGTTGTACTCTTTCGAGCTTGTGTATCTCGCCCTTCGTCAACGGACAGTAGGCGGGTGAGCCGTATTCTAGCACCGGTCGTACAATGGATGTGAAGAGACGAGTGGCAATCTCTTTCGACCAGGTGCAGAAGCTACGTTTCAGCGCCCACAGCGAACGCAATGCTGTGCGATACATATTGTCCGTGTTGTCCAGTGACTTCATGTCGTAACGTTGTATAACGCCAAGGTCTCTGACGCAATGCGTCGGGTGTAGAACTTGGCCGTCGAGAGTGTACGATCGGCCCGCTCCACCTTTACCGAGGCACAGAAGTAGCGATTTTGCCGAGTTGATAGGCAAACTTACTTCGGCGGACCACATGGAGAGGCGGTCGAGGTCCTGCTGAAGTATGTCAAAGTCGTCCGACGTATGGATCACCCTCCATAGCTTCAGGTCATCCGCGAACAAGGCACACGGCGACCGAAGGAGATTGGGCACGTCGTTGATGTGAATCAGGAAGAGAATGGGGCCAAGCACCGTCCCCTGAGGAACGCCGCTCGTCGACGGGTACCAGTCGGTCAGGTGGCTGTCGACTTGCACCCTCCACTTCCGTCCAACTAAGAAGTCACGGATCCATTGGTGCAGCGAGCCTCCGACTCCGCACTCCCTCAGTTTCTGAAGGAGGATCTCGTGATTCACTCTGTCGAAGGCCTTACTGAAATCGACGTATACCACGTCGACTGACTTACGTTGGTTTACTGCTTGCAACCATTCATGCCATGTTAGCAGCAGGTTAGTGATGCACGAGCGGCCTCTCACGAAACCATGCTGTGCAGGCGTCAGGAGAGAGTTGGTCTCCAGTAGCTGTAGCAGTCTCTTCTGCACAATCTTCTCCAGAACTTTCGACAATACTGCGGTCAAACAAATAGGGCGGTAATTCTCCACTTTGCGTGTGTCACCGCCTTTTGGAATCGGTTTGACAACGGCGCATTTCCAGTCACAAGGCACGCAGCCTATGGACAGGGATCGGTTGAACAGGTCGGTTACAGCAGGTGAGATCACAGCTGACAAGGACTTGAGGATCAGCGGATGGAGACCATCCGGTCCAGCTGGCTTCGTGCTGTCTAGGCAGCTGACTAGCCCATGTACCTCCGCGACGTCGCAGATCAAGTCGGTTAGCTCAGTCGGTGCGGCGACGGCAGAGCTTGGCGCGCAGGTTTGGTTAGTTGCGAATACAGAAGCGAAGTGCGCCGCTAATGCGGACGCACGCTCGGTGCTTGAACTTAGTGGTTGTCCGTCCGAACCCACTAGCACCGGCACATCACCTGCAGACTTCAGGCGTCGCTTCACGTACGCAAATATGCGCTTCGGGGCAGTTTTAGCTGAGCAAGCAAGCTGCTCCTCAAACTGACGGCGTTTTCGCGTCTTTGTGCTGTTGCACAAGTTTCGTTGTCGCTTGTATGCCTCATAGTCATCGGCAGAGCCAGACAGGAGGAACGCATTCCATAGTCGACGCCGTTGTCGAGACAGTCGGTTATACTCTTTGTCAAATTAATGGGGTTTCATTGGTCCAACTTTCCGAGTCTTGAGGGGTACAAATTGCGCACACAATGAGTGCACTGCCCCTTTAATGTTTGCCCAGCAAGTTTCAACGGATGAATCCTGTGGCATAGACCAATCAAGCTGATTGGCAGCTAGAATGAGGCCATCGAAGTCAGCTTTCCAATAGTTGTATGTTGGCGCCACTGGACGCACACATGGAAGCTGCAGGTCTATAGTGGCCATAATTGTCGAGTGATCACTGGCCGCCATGGGCTCAAGAACTTCTATGTCATGCACTGTTTGTTCGCAGCTGGTTAGCAGCAGGTCCAGGCATGATGGCATTGAGCGCGGGGTTATGCGGGTGGGTTGCGTGATGTGCTGCACCGTTCCGGTTTCCAGTACCAGTTCGGCGAATCTTGTCTCCACTTCATTATGGCCAGGGAGAAGCTGAACTTCAGGCCATAAGATTCGAGGAAGGTTAAAGTCGCCAGTGAGCAGGAACTGCGGGCGACTCATTTGGTTTTGGACGTGTGTGAGCCAATCCAATCCGTTACTCAGTGGGCTACGATATGCCACACCCACAAGCAGTTCGCCGCGTCGTAGGTGGATCGAACACCACAGCTGCTCACATAGACCGTCAATGCTTCGGTAGGTGCTCACGAGTCTCCCGCACAGGGTAGACCGGAGGTAAAGTAGGACGCCACCGCGGCTATTCGACTGTCGATCACAGCGGAAGCACGAATAGTCCGTGATCGCAATTTCTTCGCTTGTCACTTCAGATGTCAACCACGTCTCAGCCAAACCAACCACATCTGGCCGACGTGAAGCAATGAAGCGGATCAGATCATCGTGCTTGTTCATTAAGCTGCATACATTAATGAACGCTACACGCAATCCGCGGTAGGAACCGCTGGGCGAGCTTGAAGCGTCATTGCTCTGTTTACCCGGATTCGGGGTATCCGGGCAAGTGTGCGAAAATTTACGATACGCAGGTTAGTTTCACCGGCGTCCGTGCGTCGTTTCAGTTCGATCACGGCAGACTTCAGCTGCTCTCGTTCTGCGGGATCAAGGTCTGGCCGGACATGGATCTTCATGCCCTTTAGGCGACCGAGGCGGGACAGTACTAACCTTGGGGCAGTTTCGTCGGCGAACGCGATGCGCAGAGGCCGACACTTGCCATCAACTTGTTTCCCCAGACGAGTGACTTGTTTCACTCGTAACCCGGGTTCGCCAACATCCAGTAGTTTGTCGGTTAGAGACTGCAAGAATTGCACATCATGGTCATAGCGTACCTGGGGACTGGGATCAGTCGACTCAGGTGCGTGGAAAATCATGACGTTGCATAGCCGTCCCCGTGGTGACTTGCTATCGCTTGGCTTCACCGGTTTCGGTAAGGCCGGTTTCTCGGCTAGCAATTTCTCAAGTCGTGTTACCTTGTTTAGCACAGACTTTAGTTGTGACACTGTAGACGGTGATTTCGATTTGTTGTTGTTTACCGCCTTACAACTTTTCTTTTTAGGGGCCTGGACCCAGCCGGGTGGTTTTGCGGCGCCAGCGCTGGCCACGGCTGCGTAGGTCGCAGTTGCAGTTGGAGTGCCGACAGACGGCTTTTTTCGGTTGTCTTGTGAACTATGCATTGGTGTGTCCGCTGATGAAGCGGAGGAGGAGCGGCTTCGATTGCGCACAGTATGGATGCATGGAGGAGTCACCGGCGGTAGTACGGGCGTCACCAATGCGGCGTTATTATCTGTCTTTTTCGCCAAAGTCAGATTCGCCAGAAGGGACTTATCGTTAACAATAAGTCGGCATTTGTCACAGTGGAATGTTAGCGCGGAAGATGCCGTTCTTTTCAGGCATTCATAAAGATCGTGCTCAATGCCGCTGCACGTTGTGTGGGCCCATCCTTCGCACAGACCGCACTGCAGCGCTTTAGACCGAGAAGTGACA